ATGTAAGTCAATAACAATTGGCTGGAGCCAGAGCCAATGGTGAAAGTCTTTGCGCGAGGAGACCCCGCCCCATTTTGGAGGTTCTGCCCACTTTTGGAGTTCACGCCCCTTTTTGGAGATCTCCGGTCTGCAGTTATACCTACTTGCTTATGCTCACCAACGCTGCATTTATTGGAGTAGAAATACAGTAAAAACAGTAATACTGTGGAATATTATTGCAGTTTAAAGTAACAGTTTTCTATTTGAATATATTTCAAATATGCGATTTCAATTTTTCCTTTCTCTTTGGAGTGTTACAAGCTCTCGGTGCATAAAGATCTGTAAAGTTGCAAAGACTAAAGTCTCAAATCATTTTTAGCAACATCATATGACACCTTTAAAATGTAATTTATTTCTGTGATACAAAGCTGAATTTTCAGCATCATTACTCCAGTCTTCAGTGTCACATGATCCTTCAGAAATCATTCTAATATGCTGATTTGCTGCTCATTTGTTGAAAAGTTGTGCAAAACTGTGATATATTTTTTTTGTAGTTATTAAACATTTTATTTTAAAAAATTAAATCTTTTGTAACATTATAAATGTCATTACTGTCACTTCTGATCAATTTAATGCATCCTTGTTGAATAAAGTATTCATTTCTATTTATATACTACTCTACTCTATTACTCTATTTATAATTTCTATTTTGAACAATTTAAGAAAATAAAACATCTTTTTGGGTTCATTCACTCTCTCCCGTAATCTCCCTCCAGTATTACACAGATACACACCTGAGGTGTGGCGTATTTCAGAAAGGCAGGTGATGATTTCAGAGAAGCGTTTGGGTCGGCGAGGGTGGAGTTGTTCTGTCAGGTCACGACACACGGACCAGTAACGTTCGCTTAACTGTTCCAGCGTGGATCTGTTGCACAAACCTGCCATATCTGCAACACACACACACTCAAATTACACACATCTGCCATGGCCACAAAGATCTCAGTTAGTGTCTGTGTGTGTTACCTTGACTGAGCAGGGTGATGGTCTTTAAGCAGCTGTACTCCTCATTGCTAATATTTAGTTGATGAAACTTACGGAAGAGAAAATTTAAACTCTCCATGACCTCCATAGCATCCTCACCAAACCTGCATACACATTTACATTATGTGATAGATGTTTTAATGTTGTGCACATTATGGGACTTTGTATTTAAAAAACAAAAAGGTTCTATCTACACAGTCGAATGGAATGCAAAAACTTTGAAGCTCAATATCTCAAAAC